TGTCCTTTATGATTGGATTACCGCATTCTGTTGATTCTTATTTTGTAGTTGGCTTTATTCCTTTGATAACTATGTAAATTTAAAAAGCTAAAGATTTAATATGCTCTTAGAAACAATAATTAGTACATATATGAAAACTAAAAATAATGTGCAGTATACTGCATATATGTATTTACATGCAATATAATGTGTATGTGCAGTCAAACTAATAATTCTACATAATAAAACTGGACAAAAAGAAAAAAGAAAACTACAAAACATTGCTGAAAGAAATTAAAGAAGACACAAATGAATGGAAAGACATCTTGTGTTCATGGAAGATAATATTGTTAAGATGTCAAAACTAGCTAAAGCGATTTAGAGATTCAATGCAATCCCTATCAAATTCCCAATGATGTTTTACTCAGGTACAGAAAAATCTATCTAAAAATTCATATGAACTCTCAAGGGACCCTAAATAGCTAAATCAACCTTGAAATTGAAGAACAAATTAGAAGGACTCACACTTCCTGATTTCAAAATTTACTACAAATCTACAGTAATCAAACAGTATAGTACTGGCATAATGACAGACAAATGGACCAATGGAATAGAATAGAGAGCCCCAAAATAACTCTTACATATAAGTCAAATGGATTTTGACAAGCCTGCCAAGACCATTCAATGGGGAAAGGAAAGTTTCTTCAACTAATGGTGCTGAGAAAACTGAGTATTCAATGCAAAAGAATGAAGTTTTACCCTTACCTTATACCCTATACAAAAATTAACTCAAGATAGAATAAAGATCTAATGATCGGATCTAAAACTATAGAACTTTTAGAGGAAAACATAAGGGGAACACTTTATAACATTGGATTTGGCAATGATTTCTTAGATATATCACCAAAAGCACAGGTAACAGAAAAAAAATGGATGACTTGGATGTCAATTTGGTCCTGTTGGGTAGAAATAGAGACTCAGCTCACCACTGGACCTGTCTGACACTACTCTGGAGAGAGAATGTGGGCTGGAGAATCAGGTAGCCACCACCTGCTTCCACATGGTAGGAAGTGGAATGAAGTGGAAAATCACCCCTCTGCCCTACCCCCCTTGAAACTGTGGGATTGGGAGTCAGTTTTTCCTTTGGCATTTTTCTAGCATATGGTAGTTACTGCCAAAAATGTTTTATCTTTTCTTAGATAATCATTTTCTTAGTCCTTGGTAAGGGGAATAGAGTTTTCTTGGAGCTTTTCTTATCCATGAGTGTTGGATGTTCCTGACTGGAGGCTTCTGCAGTGCCCAGTCCAGGATATATGGGAAGTAAGGATATTCATACACCCATGTTCACAGCAGCATTACTTACAAGATGCAAAAGGTGGAGAAGATGATATACAAATGGCTAACAGGTACATGAAAAGATATTCAACATCACTGGTCATTAGGGAAATGCAAATCAAAAGCACAGTGAGATATCACGTTATGCCTATTAGAATGGTCATTATCAGAAAGACAAGCAATAACAAATGTTGGCATGGATGTGAAGAAAAGGGAGTCCTTGTGCACTGTTGGTGGGGTTGTAAATTGTTACAGCCAGTATAGAAAACAGTATGGAGGTCCCTCAAAAAATTAAAAAGAGGACTACCATATGATCCAGCAACTCCATTTCTGGGTACATATCCGAAAGAAATGAAAACATTAAGTCAAAGAGATATCTTCACCCCCATGTTCGAAGCAGCATTATTTACTATAACCAAGACATGAAAACTACCTAAGTGTCCATTGATGGGTGAAGTGATAAAAAGTGATATATATGTGAATATTATTCAGCCACAAAAACAAGGGAATCCTACTATTTTTGACACCATGGATGGACCCTGAAGGCATTATGCTAAGTGAAACATACCAGACAGAGAAAGACAAATACTATATAATCTCACTTATATGTGAACTCTTAAAAAAACCCAACATCCAAATCCCCCCCAAACCCCATCAAATTCATAGAAAAAGAGATCAGATTTGTGGTTACCAGAGATGAGAGGAAGTGGAAGGGGGAACTGGAGAAAGGTAGTCAAAAGGTATAAACTTGCAGTTACAAAATAAATAAGTTATGGGGATGTAATGTACAGCATGGTGACTACAGTTACCACTGTGGTGTGACATATAGGAAAGTTGTTAAGAGAGTAGATTCTGAGAGATCTCATCACAAGGAAATTCATCTTTTCTTTTTATTGTATCTATATGAGATAATAGATGTTAACTAAACCTACTGTGATTATCATTTTACAATATATGTAAATCAAACCACCATGCTGTATACCTTAAACTTAGACAGCGATAAATTAAGTCACATAACTTTTATGTGTATATACACAGTAATCTACAGATTATAATCAGTTATGACTACTATGTCAATTATTTCTCAATAAAACTGGAAAAAAGTGGAAAAAGTCCAAGTGCCCAACTGACAGAGAAATGGATAAACAAAATGCAGTATATATATAAAATGGAATATTATTCAGCCTTTGAAAAAATGCATTTCTCACACATGTGACAATATGGATGACTCTTGAAGATATTATGCTAAGTGAAGTAAAACAGACAGAAAAACAAATATTGTACATTTTATTTATACAAAATATCTAGAGTAGTCAAACTCCTAAGGACAGAAAGCAGAATGGTGTTTGCAAGGGGCTGCAGGGAGGCAGGAATAGGAATTAGTGTTTAATGTGTACATACTTTCAGTTTGAGAAGATGAAGAAAGTCCTGGAGATGGATGGTGGTGATGGTTGCACAATAATATGAATGTACTTAATGCCACTGAAATGTATACTTAAAAATGGTTAAAAGGATAAATTTATGTTATGATAATTTACCATAATTTTTAAAAATTTGCAAGTCAAGCTCCCAGGACCAACACAGCCTTCAAATTCTACAAGGATCTCACCCTCCTTACAATACCAAGAAGTTATAAAAACATGAATCACATCAACTCTAGTGGATATCCACTTGGAAAGGATACTCTAATCCCACATTTCAAATGAAATTGCCCCAACCCAGAAACTGGGTGGGGACAGCATATTCCTTCCCTCTGATAGAGCGGGGAAGATCAGACCATGCCTACATCCCTCAGATCCTCAGTTGCCTTTGCCCCCAGCTAAACCTCTGAATGAAAATAGCCATGGGTCAAATTTTCAAGACTGACACAGTACTTTAGCCATCAGATTCCAGCGAGAGCATGTAGCACTCAGCAATTATTTGGGAATGTTAAATATATGTATTTTCAGTAGAACATGACAGAACCAGCTATTTATAAAACTAAAAATTCTTTTGTATGTACCCAATCAAATCCATTTTCTATATAGTAAAAATTAATATTAGGAACTTAATTTCCCCTCAGAATTTCGGGATCTTGTTGGTTTTTTCCTCTATCTTAAACACATCCTTCTTCCCAAGTGGAAATGGCTTTATTTAACCTTTTGCTTATAAGAATAACCCATGCTGAGGGCAATCAATTAAATACAACTGAAAAAATTATTTAGAGGAAATTAAAATTCCCATTTTAATACCTGCTTCCTTACCTGACAATCCACCCTGTACCTATTACATGAAGATCTGGAAGGCAGAAGGAGTATCAGTGTCTGAGTGGAGAAATAGATCAAAGGGGTAGGTGCTTTGAGATCAAAGGGGAGAAAGAAAAAATTTTTTTCAGAGATGTCCCAATGGGGCCAGTAGCCCTAGGAGAAGATGCAACCCCTGATAAGACAGAAGAACAAATACATACCACCGCGGGCAAGGGGCCACATGTGACCTCTGGGATTAGCCAAGACTAAAAAGAGTGACAGGGCTTTAAGCGCAGAGGGGAGGGAAGGGGAGGGGAGCGGCGAGGCGGAAGGGGGCTAGTGAAAGGAAGAAGTGGGCTGGCTCCTGACGCACTTTCTGCGGGTGGGAGGAGAACTAGAGACCCGAGCCCACTGGTGACGTTTCCCATACGTGATCAGGAGCCGACGTATGCAGAAGTCCCGCTCCTCCAGGTATCAGCTCCCTGTTTCCGTGGAGGAAGATAGATTTCAGACTGAGGGACCGAGGGGGCAACTGCCCTATAGCCCTGCAGGTCAGTACCAGCTGGAGCGGGGAGGAGGACACCAGAGGTAGGGGTAGTAATGGACAGAGGTTACACAGGATGCGCTCTGCTTTCCAGATGCCACCCTCTTCCCACCCCCATTCATTTTGGCGCAGAAAATTATGTGAATGTTGGGGGAGAGCTCTGGGAACCATCTCTTATTTCCCTGGATAAGTACTGGCTTATGGCAGCAACAAATGTGACAAGGAGGCATCTCTCTGAAATCACTACAAACTCACCGCCGCCTGCGGACCACTGAGGTGGGGGTGGCAGAGGGCAAAGACCAGAGCGGGTCCAGGACTGAATTCTCTCTACCCCTTCCCCGATGACCATCCATTTGATGCAAGAAAAGGAGAGCTTGGTGGGAGGAGATGAAGAGGGGCCAGGGGTTGACAATGGGTACTAGTTGGGATTTCCTAAGAGGCAGGTTATCCGCGACAGTGAGAGAAGGCCAGGGGAGGGGGATGGAGAGGAAATGGCCCGATTCTTGCGGGGCGGTGGGAGGAGGGAACAGCCTGTGAGCTCGAGATGGAGAGGGCAGATTCCCTCGCAAAGGGGCCAGGCCTGCATTCTCTGTATCCCTTCTCCACCTTTGGTTCATTTTGGAGCCGGAATTGGTGTCTGCAAGGGGGCGAGATGGGGAGGAGAGGTGCTACAGAGGAGGAGAACTGGGGTTCAGTTTGGAGACCAGCTCCCTATTGCGAGGAGTGGCCTCTGAACTAGGGAGGGTTGAGAGGAGGTAACATGGACCAAAATTTTTACTGAGTTTGGAAATAATTTGTCTTTTGCATTGCAGGAAAATGTGCTCTTTCTGTATATGTGGAGAGGGAGAGGGTAGCAGGAATGCTCTGCACAGGCCCCCTGACTCTGACATCACATTTTCCGAATAAGTGATTTTCTCTGTGCTATCTGGGTGCCCCGGGGTTGGGGGTTTGGAAGGCAGAGACTTGAGCACAGCTGGATCACTGTCCTGAACCTCACTCATTTTAGTACAAGAAAAAGTAAGATAAAGAAACTTGGATGGAGGAGTCAGAAACATAGAAACATGTTGGAAATAACCTCTCTCTGCCATCTCTCAGTTGTTAGAAGAATGGAGACTTGTTAGGGAGGGGCTGTAGAGAGGGATCAGAGAAGCAAGGGAAAGGGCAAGGGGATGGAAGGAGTTCGCAAATTTTGACAACTAGAGTCTGAGAAAATCAGTGTTCCCATTGCCTTTCTTTCTTTCGTTCCCATTCTTTCTTTCAAGCCCTCATTCACCATCTTTCTCCTGTCTCTCTACAGGTCTTCGTGCTTGTAGGTAACAACCCACACAAGGAAAAGGAAGACCTACAGTATCGGTGCAGGTCAGTGGGAGAGGACAACTGCCCCAGGACCCCTGGGTGTAGGAGTGACTTAAGCCTGAGCAGAAGTTGGGGAGGACAGAGGGGAGAACAAGGAAGTGAAAATGGGAGGTGTGGCTTCTGTGCAGCCCCTTAGATATTAGGATATCCCTGAAATCTGAGAACTGGCCACTGTTCTGTTTTATCTGCACTTCTATAAGTCTTGCAACTGTAGGCAACGGGAAAAAGAAACTGGCCCAGATTCTTGTGGGTGGGTCTAAGCGGGGACTACCCAGTTAAAACCGATATGGGCATAGCCAAGGCCAGAGCAAAGTTTAGAGACAAACCTGCTCTTATATACTTATCAGCACAGCCCACTTAAACATAGGGAGAAGCACCTGTAGAAGTTTCTGCAACGTTGGCTTATGTGAACGTGTGGCGTGGCAAGGAAAGGAAAACACATATGGGCGGGAGTGCACCTGGATGTTGGGACAGGCTGAGGAAAACCCTAAATCATAATGGCAAGTACCATCAGGACCTGTATTTCACCAGCTAAGTCCTCGTCCCTTTTGTCTCCATTTTGTCTCCTAGGACAGGCAAGGGAGGACAAATCTCAACATGGAAAAGGTCCATAAAGAAAATGAAGGAAAGCCAGAAAATGAAGGAAACCTGGAAAATGAGGGCAAGTCAGAGGATGCAGTAGATACAGAAGATAAAGGAAATTCAGATGAAGAAAAGCCAGAAGTAAAGCAGAAGACAGGGCACAAGGGAAAGCTACAAGATGAGGGGTCACCAGATGGTGAAGGGAAGCAAGAAAAGCAGGGCAAGTCTGAAGATGAGGGAAAACCATACGGTGAGGGCAAGCCTGAATCCCAGGCAAAGCGAGAAAGCCATCTGAGGGCTGCCGAAAAGCGCCCGGCTGAAGATTATGTGCCCCGGAAAGCAAAAAGAAAAACGGACCGGGGGACGGATGAGTCCCCCAAGGACCGTCAGGAGGACTTACAGGAAAGGCATCTGGGCAGTGAGGAGATGATGAGAGAATGTGGAGATATGTCACGGGCTCAGGAGGAGCTAAGGAAAAAACAGAAAATGGGTGGTTTTAATTGGATGCAAAGAGATGTACAGGATCCCTTCACCCCAAGGGGGCAACGGGGTGTCAGGGGAATGAGGGGCGGAGGTAGGGGCCAGAAGGAAGACCTTCCATATGTTTAGTGCCTTTGGCCTTCAATTTTAATTCCTCTGATGAGAATATTGCTGACCCTGCTTTCCCTGGCAGGCATTTGCCAGACTATGTGCTTTAACCTTAAGCTGATACTATGCTTTAGGTGTCACTCTTGTTACCAGCAGCCTTTTGACCCAACTACAGTGCTCTCTGTGTTTCAGTAGGGGATTTTCACCCATGTGTATGGAAGAGATGTTCATGGTACACTGTAAAATAATAATAAAAAAAACCCAGTTTTCAGAACCACGTAGATAGCATCATCCCATTCTTGAAAAAAAAAAGTTACATATTACATCCATGCACAGGGAAAACTGTGAAACTGACTAGACTAAAAGAAATAGTGGTTTTCTCTCTGTGATGTCAATGGAGATTATCCTTTCATCTGTACCTTTTCCCCTGAAAAACACAGATTATATTTGTCATAAAATAAACAATAAAAGATTTTAAAAATAGGAAAATATGTACCAAGCAATCAAAATAACGGCTCGGTGAGTTTATGAAGGCAGTGGAGACTCTCAAAGTTGTCAGGGTGTGAAATGACGTGCAAAACTCCCATTATCTCTTGGACTTGAAGCTGGAGGAATCAACCTGGCAGTTATTACAGATCCATTGCTGTAGGGAACAGTCTTGTTATCTGTGAACTGAGGATAAATCTTGCCTTCCAGGGCTGTGGAGAAGACCAGATGAGGTACTGAGTACGTGAGCTGTGTTGGGCCGGCTCCTACCCTCTGCCATGCCCTAGCAGGACTGGAACCCCAACAAATGTTTGGGAGAGGGCTGAGGGAGGTCTTACGTGTGTTCAGGAATAAGTCCAGACAGCTGAGAGGTGGGTGCCATTCTCCCCTGGGTAACGCCATGACTCGGGCACTGTGACTCTTCTCATGGGTTCTGTACCTTCCTAAGGGCCCCACTGCTGGTGAGCTGAAGTCCTCAAGGTAACAAAGCCCCTTTGATTTCCCCAGAGTCCCTAGGTTAAACTCCACTATGTTCCCTAGACTATGGAGGTCTCTCTTCTCATGATATAGTTTTATTAATCCCGACATGAAATGTGGAGAAATGCTTTGTAAAATCTTAAGTAATGTATTTTCCAGGCATTATAATTAGCTCCTTAGACTTGCCCTTTTCAAAGCAAAGAATTTATCTTACTCATTTTGGTAACCACGATGCATAACAGAAGCTTAAAAAACTCAATACGTTAATTATCGAGTCAGAAGCCTCAAGTCTTGGCCCAGTTCTCTCCCTGATCGAATACATAGCTTTGAGCGTGTAATTTCATTCTTTAGCAACTGAAACTTGCCACTCCAGAAGGAACATAGCAAGAGAGGGATTATACTACAATCCATTGCTAAATGATCTTAACATTGGATACAGTAATGTTTCTCAAAGTTTGCTATCTACTAGCAGACCACCTGCATCAGAATCACCTATCTTGTTGAAAGTGCATATTCCTGGCTCCCACCTCAGACCCAGTGTATCAGAATCTCTTTTAACTTGTCCTCAAAATATCTCTGTGTACATGTCCTTTGTTTTTAGCTCATTTTTAATCAAGTGGATACATGTACACAATTTAAAAATCCAATAATGTAAAATAATTTATTATTAAAAACTGCAGTCTTTGTCATCATTCCACAGTCCCACTCTCCAGAGGCAACTACCATGAACATTTTTGGTTTCTTCTGGTATTTACCTCCATATTTCTGAATATTCTTATGTTGCCTTTTCTTGGTCCCATTCCCTCTTCTCCCCAGCACCTGGCAATCACTGATCTGCTTTCTGTCTCTATGGATTTGCCTATTCTAGACATTTCACATAAATGGAATCACAATATATGGCCTGTGGTGTCTAGTTTCTTTCATGCAGTGTAATGTTTTCAAGGTTCACCCACATTGTAGCATATATCAATACTGAACACTCGTGTACTTTTTTTGCCTTTTAAAATAAACTTTATTGAGAAGTCAAAATGCAAAATTTACAAGTATAGAAATGATGGTTCTGACTTAGTTTATTATGTAAATAACCTCAGAGCATGCTAATGATTAAATCCAAAGTTGCTTTAACTTCATTTGAATATTTTGATTCATTTTATGAAGAAGTACTCTTAATTTAATATTTTTGTTTTGTTTCTGGTTTCAAGAAAACACACATATGTAGTATTTGATACACTAATCATTTCTGCTGGAAGAAGCAATAATAAAATTTTTTTAATTAAAATTTTTTTCCAGTTTAATTGAAATATAATTGACATACATCACTGTATATGTTTAAGGTGTACAGCATAATGGTTTGACTTACATACATTGTGAAATGATTACCGGTAAGTATCATTAACACCCATTATTTCATATAGATACAATAAAAAGAAAAAGCAAATAAAGAAAAAAATTTTCTTCTTGTGATGAGAACTCTTAGAATTTACTCTCTTAACAACTTTCATATATATTATACAGCAGTGTTAACTTTTTACATGTAAATATGTTTTCAGTTTTCTTGAGTATATACCTAGAAGTGGAAATTGCTGGGTCATGTGGTAACTCTTTAACTTTCTGAGGAACTGCCAAACTGTTTTCCTAAGTAACTGTGGCATATGACAATCCCATCAGCAGTATATGAGGGTTCCAATTTCTCCACATCCTGACAACACTTGTCATTGCCTATATTGTTTTATTGTAGACATCTTAGTGGGTATGAAGTGGAGTCCCACTGTAGTCTTGGTTTGCATTTGCCTGCTGGCTAATGATGCTGAGCATCTTTTCATGTGCTTATTGGCCACTTGTATATCTTCTTTGGAGAAATCTGTATTCAAATCCTTTACCTATTTATAAATCAGGTTGGCTGTCTTTTTATTGTTGAGTTGTAAGAGTTTTTTGCTTATTCCGGACACAAGTTTCTTATCCGATGGATGACTTAACAACTGCTGTTTCTTGACTTGTTAACTTCAGTCACTATCTATTGACTTTCTGATATGATAATTAAGTAGTACTCTCTTACCATCATAATTGCCACTATCATAATGTCGTGCTTCCCAATGTAGCTTTATCACATATAATGTATATTTTAACAAGCATTCCTGTGATACTGTTGCTTAACACTGAGGACCATTTATACATTTGTCAGGTTAGGCTAAGCTTATGTTAGGATAGCAATCAACCTCCAAACATCAGTGGCTTCACACAACAAAGGTTTATTTTTCAAACTTTGTAAGGATTGGGGATGGAGAGGTTGTTTACCCCGGGTTTCCCAGAGATCCAAATTAATCAGGATACCACTGCAGCAGAGGAAAAAGAGTACATGGGGCTCTCACACTCATTCTTCTACACTGTAGTCTACAAGTGATGTAAATCATCAATGTTCACAGTCCATTTTTTCATATTTCTAGCTCTTTTAATTCTGAGAAGCAATTTTGAAAGAGGTATTATTGTGCTTTGATATAGGTGACTGAACTGAGGCTCAGAGAGTGTATGTGATTTATGCAAGGTTCCATACCTGTAAGGGGAAGAGCCTAGACTGGAACCCAAGGATTGAAATTTTATCTTTGCAGTATTGCCCAACCAATCCTTTAGGACGTCAGAATAGTGGTGATAGTTCTTCAGATGACAGATCTAAATAACAAGGCTCACAGTAGCATTGCTTCCTCCACCATTAATGCCTTAAAAAGGCATTTAATGCCAAGTCACAGCTTGACTGCCTTAGCACCTAAATCATGGGCTGTGTCTACAGTGCATGAGGGTATTCAGACAGGTGGTAACACCCGTTTTCTCCTGAGTTGGAGGACCACAGGCCTTTGCAAGCTCCCTTTGCCTGGTGGCTCCTGTACTTTTGGGACTGGGCTGAATTAAACATCAGAAGTACCTCACCAGGCAGATACAGAACTGAAGCCACCAGAAAAAAAACCAAAACAGGCCTAGGCACCATCAATGCCTTTCTGGGAGGCTGAGCAAGGTTAGTTGGGGTTTTGTTCAAATGCAGCCCCATCACTATTGTTCTGGGTACTATTTCACTGGACACTGAGAGAAGGGTTCCAGCCTTTTACTTCAAACTCAAAATTATCTGGTCAGTCCTAGGTTGTAGGTGAAAAGGTCAATGCTTTACGTTTTTATGCTATGGAGTTTTATTTCCATCACTACAACATTCTCCTTCATACTTCAAAGGGAAAGAGAATAGGGGAAATGACACAGATCTTGACACTGTCAGACAGGAAATTAAAAATAACTATGGTTGATTTTCCACTTATGGCAAGGCAGTATGAGGAACTCTGAGGATCCCTTCCCCAGTGAAATTGTTAAAATTATTTTCTTAAAATACAACCATTTAAATTCTTTGGAAATAGTCCTAAGGGCATGCAGCAAATGAAGAAACATTTCTTTAAGAAAATCTACCATAACAATAAAAACAATGAGAATCTGTGATAGTTGAACCGATTCTCTCCTTCCCTTCCCACTCCCAACTCAGCATAATGGAAACTCCATTCCAGAAGGGTGAAGCCAAAACTACAGATCTCCTTCTCCCCACAGCTCACATCTGGAGGGTCACAGTGTCTTCCCAGAAGAGACAGAACTTCTCATCTCACCTTGAGTTAATTGTCATTCAGGATAAGTTCCGGGTGAGTGGAGCTGAAAGGTGGGGGCTCCCTTCTGCGCAGCCCCCATTCATCAGGAGGTTCTACCTCCAGCACAATGTACTAAGAATATTGGGGACTCAATCTCCTGGGAGAGGCAAGCCAAGATGACCTGAAGGTACTGCCCATCCTGAGTCAAGTGCACAGCTTCTAAAGCAGCAGCGTCACTTAGAGAGAATTGTGCCACTGTCACCATCTTTAGCTCCAGATCCTGGTATTAGAGATTTTTCCCAAATCTTTTCCAAAGGAACTGACTTCATTTGTCATACAGTGTGAAGAAGTTGAAGGCTAAAGGTGTTATAAAAAATGGAGGTTGTGGTGAAAAACAATTAAGAGGTCAGTAGATTCATTAGAGATAGAAGCTAAATGTTAGGCCAGCTAGTTTACTAGAGAATTAGGGAAAGAGACAGCTATGTAGAGTCCTCTTGGGGTCAAAACAAATGTGGAACAATGACCTCAAATACTGTATCTGAAAGGGAGCCCAAATTTAATTCTATGAACCTGTGGAGCAACTTATGCCTCAGTGCGTCGTGAAAAACAATAAAGCAATCAACAAGTCAAGTATGTTCAGGGAAGGAAACAGTTACAGATACACGATAAATAAATGTAGGTATGTGTATATACAGTTTAG